TGTTTGAGTGCAATTGAAGTGTGGGCTTCGCGTAACATGTGTCAAAGTATCCCAATAAATCTGGTAGTCCAGCTTGCGATTCCGCGAAACCAGCTATAAAGCGGGGAAATTGCTCATAAAAGCCACACCAACGCCTTGCCACAGCTCGTTAAAAGGACAGAAGCCATCAAAAGGACACAATCTCCTTTCGTTTAAATGTAATCAATCGTGGCTTTAATTGACTTCTCATGGAAAAAGTACACATCAGCTGTATCAACAATATACAATGTACAAATATATTTTACTGAAAATCAATAAGGAATACAACAGTGCGATGCTCCGACCGGAAGCGGCAGAGCTACAAATATTCCCAGAAATCATTTGCTATAAAATTAAAAACCAATTCTGTTTCCAGTTAAGTTTCACTTCAAAGGAAATATTTATGCTTAGTGCCCCCTCCCCCCTCCAGAGCCTGGGGCCAGCAGCGTTTAAACGACAACAGAAAGTTGCAAACTGAATAATTGATTTGGCCATCAGCTATTTGGCTCTGGAATTTGAATAATTTTTCCTCCGAACATTCTCAAAGATTATTGAAATCAAATGAACGCTAAATCGGCTTTTGGAACCCCACCTACCAGCACACTAATGTGTTTGATTTCTAGAGAAGTGGACACATTTCCTTGGAACTGATTGGCGGATCAGGAGGACGGGCTTTGTCGGCGGACACCACAAGCCGGGAACTATAGCGACAAATTCCCTTCGTTTTTGGCCGGTTCTCCGTTCTGCTGGTCGGAAAATTGCTTCAATTTATTTTAAGCCAGCAAAGAGCTATTATGCTAAGGGGCCTTCTTTTTATGGAATTTTTTCCATGCGTTGCACAGTAGGTAACACGAAACAGTGGGGTGAAACTGAACTCTATCGAGCACCCCCTATAAACGAGTACCCCCATCGAATGATTTTTATGGAAATTGCCCCTGAAAGACAGTCTCTTCTTTATTTTGCAACTGGCTTCGAGTACTGGGCCCACTGTGCCGGGTTACTATGGCATTAAAACACATGCTGTAGCTAGTTAATTGCCAGGTCATCTGTCATCTTGCCACCTTTCACCTGGATGTTGCTCATTTCCGTAAAAGGCGCGCCACTTTTCACCGCTTGTTAAACATTAAGGACGTCAGAAAAAAGGAAAACCCCTACGTGAAGCAGAATATGAGAGCATGATTAATTAATTTCATTCTTTTGATATGAAAATATGCACTCCATTCAAACAATGCTGTTCTCTTGGTAGAAAAATAATGCTAGATGAAGAATATTAAGTGTTCTCTTGGTATTGTACTTGCTGGCAATCAAAGTGGGTCTCGACATTCCGAAAATTAGGTTCATTCAGGGCCTGCACTCATTTGAAAAGAATTAAAGTCTGCCTTGAGTCCCTGGCGTCCTTGGGGTGCAATCTTTTCACCACTTGTTAAACAGGAAACACTTGTTAAAAAAGAAAAACTCTACTTGCAGCAGAGTATGAGCGAGAGCATGATTAATTAAGTACAATCTTTTGAATTGCAAATATGCCTTCATTCAAAGGCTACAAAATGCAATTAAAGCCAAGGAATTCAAGCAATTTCGTTCCCTCGGCAGGGAATATCTTTCATTTATTCCATTATATCCAATGGATAAGAAGTTTCTTATCGTAGTTACGAGTATGCATCTGAAATAGGTGTGGTTTTTCATTTAAATAAATTAAATGACCCTCAGAGGGACCATCCATAGGCCACTATAGTCCTTTGTTATCCATATGGGGGGTATGAACCTTGGCGGAAGTGCTTATGAGGTTTCAAAGTCCTCAAGAATCGATGTATTTCTATTGGAAAGACTTCCTCTTGGAGGCATCTTCTAGTATTGGCAGCTCCGGGGCGCCCAGGTATCTTCTCCTTGACCGTGAGAGAGCCGGGCAGTTACAGATGATATGCTCCAGGGTTTCAATGGCCCCTGGTTCATCACATTTCCTATAGCCGTCTCGTTTGGTCTTTCCTAGCTTCGCTGCCTGCGCCGCACCCCCACAGTGACCTGTGAGCATTCCCCCCAACAATCTGCATTCCCTCCATGGTAGGTGCCGTAAGTACTGACTGAGCTTTCCATTGCATTCTTTGCACATAGTTTTCAAGGTTCTGATGGGTGTAAGCTGGGCTGATGCTCTAAGGCGCTTTTAGGGGAGACAGAGGCCCTCGATGCCTTGGCGGCTGGCAGCCCAGTAGATCCGCACTGACTTTGTCGTGCCTGGGGGTGTCTAGGGCCTTCCTGCTCGTCAAGACACTTCTGGAACTGACCGCAGACGACTGCTTGGCTGTCAACGCATAGATTGACCACATCGTGTGCTCGTTCTGCTGCTTCCTTGATGGCGAAATCTTCCGCCTGGAATATGCTTCATCGGTAGGGTAGCCTTATATCAGGGTCTGTACAGTATAGGCCCGCTAAAACACCTCACAGTCATGGGGTCCCATAAACCAGATTGTTTTCACATCGACGCCAGTTTGGGGGAGTCATGAAGTCAGTAAAAGGGGATCACAACGGATTTTCACAATGCATTTATGCGCTGTCCTGCCTTTCCATGTCCAGGGGGTCGACTCCGAGTATGGTTTCGAGTGCTTTTTTGGGGCTCATGTATGCAGAGCAGAGCCTGTGGCTGAGGTTTTACCAGAAGCTTATTGTACGTCTTTTTTTCGTTAGCTTGCCAGTGCAGAGCACACAGAGACTCCAACACCTCGGTGGAGAGGTAGATCCATTGCATTAGAGCAGGTGACAAGCCCCCTCTGCTGCTGAGCATCTACTTGGTGCTCCCATGAAACAGCCACAACTTGCATACACATCCATCCGCCTGGCCAAGACTTTCATCTATCTTCTGTCAAGAAGGAAGCAAATGCATAGATTACTTATAAATTGCAACTGTCAGCCGAAAAGGCTCTCACTTTATTGCAGTTCGGTTCAGCAGAAGTGTGTCCTGTGGGCTGTGGGCTAAGACTCGATTGCATCTCCTCATTATCCTGTTCGTTTGCTGCCCCCAGAATGTCCAAATGATTGCATTCGGTTTTGAGCCTGAGCCTCGGAGCACAAATTGCAATTTTCCGTAAGCCATGGGCCAGACGAAAACGCAACGACATTTGGCCCAAACTGGGAAATATTGTTTTAGGCCGAAATCGGGGCCACACGTGGCGCAATGGGTGGCTGCTTTTTGGGGCCTATGGCGGTTCGAATAATTGCTTGGCGGACAGCCTTTGGCAAAGGCCTCAAAACTCCACAAATTTTCTGTTTAAAGCCTCATCCATTGCATTTCTTTGAAGAATTTTTAAGCCGAATTGGGCCAAGTTTTAATTGGGAATTAAATAATTAATTTTTTAAGGGACACACTCAAAAATGTTTTCACATGCAAAAGCCAGAATTTGCAACAAATTTAATGCCGTAATTGCTCACCAAGAGCATCGTCGAGGCGTCACCACATCTCACGTCCCTCATCCGATGTCAAGTGCACAAGGGAAGGGGACAGACCACAGCCTGCCACCGGGACTGGCCTAGCCAGCTGCTTATTTAAAGCCCCGCTATAAGTGGATTAAAATTTGAATTAAAACAAGTACGAAAGGCGGCAGTAGACGCGTACTCGTGTGCCCTATAGCGAGCCACCTTTAAAAAGGGCAAAACCGTATGGAAGGATGGATGTTTGTTGTTACAGGGAAGCTGAAAACTATACCCAATCATATACCTGAATATAATATACACTAGGGACTAGCTTTTTTCCAGTACAGTACAGGGTATACCGTATGTTCGGGTATGTTTTTGGTATCCCTCTACCTTTTCCCGAGTCCTTTTTTTTCTCTTGTTGTTTTAATAGCTTTCTGCGAATGGATTTGACGAGGGAGGGGCTCTGCCTCTCCACACTTCAACCTTGACGAATATTTATAATTTCCAGTAAATACTCGTAATTCGAAAAGGTCCGTTTACATCGTTCTAGAGCACCGATGAAGCCACCAGATGGTTGTGTTTTATGGCATTACAAATGTCTGATTTATGGAATAATCAAAAGTGACAGAGTAGATTTTTTAAAGAGCAGGCGTGATGTCCATTGTGTTGACCGCTATGACCTATGGCCCTCAGGGCAAGCCTCTACTGAAGCCTCTCCGCCTTGAAGGTTCGACGCTTGACTAGAGCAAAAAACCTTTGGTTTATGCATTGAGGTCCCAATCTTTAGGTCTTCTAAAGTCTACCTCGTAATAGAACCACTGGATGATGGACTTTCTTAAAGGACATTGCAACTTCTTGGACAAAAGCAAAGGTTAAATCTCTGATTACTCCCCACAGAAAGAAAGCCTTCTGAAATTTGAATTTTTCATTTCTCACTAAATCACCTGTAGCTCAGTCCTTAAGCCCAGCAGGCCCTCTGAGATGGCGGAACCAAGACATTGCTCCATTTTGGGCAGAACTTTGATATTCGAGATCAAAAGTACTTCCTGGCTTTTTGCCCTCTTCGAGCATCGGCGGCCTCCGCCTCCCATCCCTTTAGACGGAAACGGACGAGACGGGGCCCAACTCCAAAACTTTGCGGGCTGTCAAATGCCACAATTGTAATAATTTTGTTTACACATAACCTACGTACAATTGAAACGTGTATCAGGCCCTAATTAAAGGCACGGTTGGCTGGCAACAGCCCAGCATTTAATTATAATTAAATTAGCAACTTCGGGTTTACTATTAATTTAATGTGGTTTTAGGTGGGATTTGGTTTGGCTTCCGTTCAAAGGACATGCGGCGGGCTAATTATTTCATAATACAAATGGTTTCTAATGAACTACTGATGCCAGGCCCTACTGCCATGGATCTATGAGGCACGAGACGTGGACTCCTCTATAGAAAAACACCCCTGTACGAGAACGGGGGGCATAACCCTGATCAAGGACTCTCTACCATTTGTGTTATACTGTCTGATCGTTCAAAATAATAGTTTTTTATAGTTACACCTCTTGGTTCCAAATTATCTTTTGTTACTCTGTACAAAATGGCCAAGTTTTTGCCATATCCGGTGTGTGTGTTCCTGATGCTCCAGCTGACGGCCCTCGTGTCGATGGTGGACGTGGAGTACAAGGTGGTGAAGATACGTAGAGGCCGCAAGCCGCAAGCGCAGATGTTCTGGAGCTTTGATGCCCACGAGCTGCTCTTCAGTCCACTGTATTCTCTGGCCGCCATGAGCCTGTTTTACTACGGCTATGGTCTGGTGTATCTGCGCCATGAGGGCCCCTACAAGAACCTTCTCCTATGCCTGTGCAACGCCAGCGTGGACATGTGGCGGAAATTCTGGCCGGTGATGCTACTGCCGTGGCTCATGACGGTGCTGCCCGGCGTACTGCCGTATCCCAATCGCCTGTGGCACTGCCTGGCCATGGATACCTCGAGGATAGACTTTTGCTTCATCCATGTGGTGGCGTGCATTAGCTTTTGGATCGTGTCGATGATGGTGGTTTTTCTGACCTTCAGCTTTACCGTGCTGTCAAATCTCTGCCTGCACCGATCTACGCGAATCGATAGGTACGTGTCGCCCGAGCTACGCGCCTACATACGGGGCATAAACGAGTCGTACGGCTTTCAATTGATTACCATCCATCCGTAAGCAATGGCCCTGAGATCTCCAACCATAACCCACGTAATTCTAAACCACATATCATTAAAGATCGATAAGTTACATCAGTTTGTGGTCGTTCTATCATGTAGCGCAGTAATACTTTTGACGAGACAGCCAGGACTAGCTGTGTAGATCCCGTCAAGACGATCCACTAAGCCGCTTCCACCGATGCAGCAATCAGATATGGCGATCCTGCTTCACATATACTACCTAATGTACAATAGTATACCAATTAAATACCAAACCCAAACTGAATCTTTCCTGGGTAGAACTTTCCCTGTTTCAGGCTATATTTTATTACGGGGGGGGTGCTTCGCCGATGAAGCCAAGCGGAATATTTTGGTCGGTTGTTTGCCTTTCCCACCGCCCCACTAGCCGACAAAATAGGAATAAATTAAGACACAAAACCCTGTACCGCCCTGCCCTGCCCTGCGGATGCTGCCGATTCGTCTGGCTCTTCCCTGGCTACTGCTTTAATGTGATTCAATTTCCCTCAGGTGACTCTTGGCGGACTGCCGCTGGCCGTGGAAAACGTTAACAAGAACCCACATCTCCTGCCGGGCAAGAAGTTGGCCTTCAAGCCCGTGGACATTGGCAAACAGAGTACATATCGGATCAAGCCTTTAAGGTGAGTCGTAACCACAACCCAACAGTGGGCCATATGCAGATATTGTACTTTTTTTGATTGAATTTTCCAGGGCAATGACCCAAATGCGGGAGACTGGCATCACAGCCTTCATTGGGCCCGACGAGAGCTGTACGACCGAGGCCCTGCTGGCCTCCGCCTGGAATACCCCGATGCTGTCATTTGTGAGCCTCTCTTCTCTCCCTTCATGGTATTTTCTGTACACCATCTCCCTTCTATCCTATGTAGAAATGCTCTGACTCAATTGTCTCCAACAAAAGCACATTTCCCACCTTTGCACGAACTCTGGCCCCAGCCTCGAAGGTAATGCCTCTCAAAGACCTCAAGCAACTCCTTAAACACATCTTATGCCTTCCCATAAAGGTCTCCAAGAGTGTGATAAGTCTGCTGAGCGCTTTCCACTGGCAAAAGTTTGCCATCGTAGTGAGCTCCAAGCCCATTTGGGGCTCAGATGTGGCACGGGCCATACAGGTGAGTGGGATATGCTATTCTGTGGCTACATCCTCCATTGACTTGGTGCTCTTTCGTATCAGGAACTGGCAGAGGCCAGGAACTTCACCATCAGCCACTTCAAGTATATATCAGACTATATCCCAATCACGAAAACCCTGTCGCAGATTGATAAAATCATAGAAGAGACCTACACGACGACACGCAGTGAGTTTTTGCCTCCCACAAAACTTTGGGTATAATCCCACGACATTCTATAACATCCCTCAGTCTACGTGTTTATCGGGGAGCATATAGCGATGGTGGACTTCGTGCGAGGTCTCCAGAACCGACGGCTGCTCGAGAGCGGCGACTACATCGTGGTGTCCGTGGACGACGAGATCTACGACTCGAACCGACGGGTGAACATTATGGAACGTAGTAAGTGGTTGGTTCGATCCAGGCGGTCCCGGCTAGAGTTCTAATGCATGGCACCATCTATTCCAGATTATTTAGATCCTTATATTAGAAAAGAAAAGAGCAAATCACTGGACAAAATCTCATTTCGTTCAGTTATAAAAATAAGCATGACATATCCACAAAACCCCCATATTCGGTAATTTATCTGAATCTTAGTTATCTAACTGTGCGTATTTCTGTTGCCTCTTTCAAAACAATTATTATAAGATATATTTAAAGGATCGATTTGAGTTTGCCTATCAACAAATGTAGTTTGAGTTCGTTGAGCATGTTTTCAATTAACTATTGGAAGATATCAATTAAGGCTATACTTTTGGCAGAGATATAGTGCCTTTTAGGGATCCTTTTCTTATTCCAATTATTTTTGAAAAATATCTAAAACAATTTTCGATGCTAGAGTTCCATTTCCAGTAATTCTTTTGCATGGCTTTTCAATATTTTATGCATAATTCCGAAACCCATTTTTGTCCGTCTATTCTTCCGTGTTTCATTGTGTTTCCAGCGATATTTGCTCGAAAATAAAGGAATATGCACGCAAGACTCCATTCCTGGTGCCATATCATCAGCGTGTGTTCGACAACATATCGGTGGGTAGTACCTCAAATACTATATCCCATCAGATCTCTACTTTAACACTTGTTCTAACCAATCTAGGTCCCCATTTATGGCCTGCATCTGTACGATAGTGTTATGATATATGTACGCGCCATTTCGGAGGTCCTTAAGCTCGGCGGAGATATATACGATGGAAACTTAGTAATGAGTCATATATTCAACAGATCTTACCATTCAATACAGGGATTTGATGTAAGTATTCGGGAGTTTATTTAATCTAAAAAAAGTAAAGCGGGAAAAAACTTTTGTTTGAGACAAATCGGAATATATTTTCCAGCAATATTCATAAAATTAAATATGCAATATCCCCTCGACTGTGCATATGAATAATTTCATTTTAAATACGAACAAAGTCTGCGTAAAAGCCAACAGTTCAGGTGCAAATGACCCAGTTAATCGGCGGACTGTCAACCAGTCGACCGTTGATTTGTCAACTGTCGGCCGATGCTAATGGGCTTTCAGCTGAGTCGTAGATATGCCTTCTGGGCGGCAGTCTCTGCTGGAATGTAGCTATTGCGGGGGTCATCAATGAACCTAATGCTGCTGATGGGGGAGACAGAGAGTACAGGACAGGACAGAGTTTACGGATGCCAAATCAGCAGGGGAGGTGTCTCTCATCTAGCAGAAAAGTAACAGGAGAAGAGCCTCATCGAGTACTTAGATTCATATTGGTCTCCTCTGATCTTAAATTTGTATTAGAGGCATTTAAGTCCTGCCACTATTACGATTCCCTTACATATACGAGTATGCCTAACAAACCTCCACCTATCATCATTCCCATAGGTCTACATAGATGCCAATGGCGATGCGGAGGGCAATTACACGGTAATAACATTGCAGAACGATTTGAGCAGCGGATCCTCGGGCGGATCTCTGGCCAAGATGTCCATGCAGCCAGTGGGATTCTTTGCCTACAACAAGCATTCCATGATACCCGTGAGACCCATCAGAAAAGAACACTATTAGTGGTGCTAAATAATTCCCCAATTCTTAGGAGTTCCGTTACATAAAGAATGACAGAACCATACAGTGGCTCAATGGTCGGCCACCACTGGCGGAGCCCGTCTGCGGCTTCCACGGGGAGCTGTGTCCGCGCAAGAAGCCCGATTGGCGGTACCTGGCCACGGGTCCATTGTGTGCCCTAGTCGTGGTCGTGGCCATCGCTCTACTAATCAAGCAAGAACCCATCTTTCCATTAGTATGTATCTCCACTTAAGTGTTTATATGCCTTCGCAGACATTATCGCTATGAACAGACCCTGGCTGGACTCTTGTGGAAGGTGGACATGAAGGAGGTGACGGTCATCAATCTGGGTGAATACAACAATCCCAGCAACAAGAACATAGTGGGTGAATCCTCATTAAAGCACTCTATTTAATGCCTCTCTTTAACGACCATCTGTTTGACATCCCTGCAGTTTCAAATCTGTCGTCAAAGTATCCTTGTGGTTGGAGAGCCGAACAAGAGGTCCTTTACAAATATTGGTAGGCATTAAGTATCATATTAAGGTCCATATTGCATTATATTATCGTTTGATGCAGCTCTTTTTCGGGGGAATATTGTGGCCATGAAGAAGATTCACAAGAAGAACGTGGACATCACGAGATCGATACGAAAGGAATTGAAACTAATGCGTGAAGTGAGTCCGAATCAGTAGCAATCGACGCCCATAACCCCCGTCGGAATTCCAGGTACGGCACGAGAACATCATCAATTTCATTGGCGCCTCCACGGACCATGGATCCGTAATACTGTTTACCACGTACTGTGCCCGAGGCAGCCTGGAAGATGTGCTGGCCAACGAGGACCTGCATCTGGACCACATGTTCGTGTCGTCGCTGGTCTCGGACATTTTGAAGGGCATGATTTACCTGCACGACTCGGAGATCATATCGCATGGTAACCTGCGGTCCAGCAACTGCCTCATCGACTCCCGCTGGGTGTGCCAGATATCGGACTTTGGCCTGCAGGAGCTCAAGGCGGGTCAGGAGGAGCCGAACAAGTAAGGACTTACTGGTTGACTTTCCACCGGGACGAAAGCACTCCATCTTTGGTCTTGTGACGTTCGCAGAAGTGAGCTGGAATTGAAACGTGCCCTGTGCATGGCGCCGGAGCTTTTGAGGGATGCCTATCGACCGGGCCGTGGCTCGCAGAAGGGGGATGTCTACTCCTTCGGTATACTCCTTTACGAAATGATTGGCCGCAAGGGTCCCTGGGGCGACGCGGCCTACTCGAAGGAGGGTGAGGCCAGAGATCCCTGGATTTAATTCAATAAATAACCAAAATATCTACATATCTTTTTCCAAAGAGATAATTAAGTTTGTCAAGTGCCCGGAACTGCTGCAGCACGGCGTATTCCGTCCGGCTCTGACGCACACCCACTTGGACATACCCGACTATATCCGACAGTGTCTCTGCCAGTGCTGGGACGAGGATCCAGAAGTCCGCCCGGACATTCGGCTGGTGCGCATGCACTTGAAGGAGTTGCAGGCTGGTTTGTATGTACCCAAAATGTTCCCTATAATTTCACAAGGATACTGTGTAGATGTGAATATGCGAGGAATGGGATATCCATCTGTGGGCTCCTTATTTTTTTTCTGCCTTTTGGGGGAAGAGTTGTTTTGGTACCTGTTTTCCAGGTTACTTCAACGAACGGACAGACGTCTAGGGTTACTTTAAATCTACTACTCATCAAATCCATTCAATCCATTTACAGAAAACCCAACATATTCGATAACATGCTCTCTATAATGGAGAAGTATGCCTACAATCTGGAGGGCCTCGTACAGGAGCGAACCAATTTGCTTTACGAAGAGAAAAAGAAAACGGATATGCTCCTCTACCAGATGCTGCCCAAGTAAGATTTTCTGACACCAACCCATCGAGGAGTTTGCTTCACTTAAATCTCCCTTCCTTTGGCAGAACTGTTGCCGAGCTACTGAAGCGAGGAGATCCCGTCGAAGCAGAATGTTTTGATTGTGTGACCATCCTGTTTAGCGACATTGTGGGATTCACGGAACTCTGCACCACCAGCACACCCTTTGAGGTGGTGGAGATGTTGAATGATTTGTACACCTGCTGCGAT